ATTTTTGCTTATTAGTATGGTTGAATTGGATCATCGAAGGTCAGCAGCAAAGACATTGGTTAATAAAATGGGATTAAATACATAAATGATATTTGTCTTATTTAACATATTTAATTATTGCAGGTTTGTATAATATTCAGAGTTTGCATTTGACTGTTTTTATTGATTGTGAGGAACACTGAATGTGTTTGTGTGCAGTGAGATGAGTAAACACATGTTCATATTTAGTCTAGAACTACAGTAAGATCATGTTCACACACAACGCTCTGCACTTACTCCTGATTTCTGTCACCATGGCAACACCAGAGCTGTCACTCAACACATGGAAACAAAGTAACTAGCGTTACTTATTTGAAAAATAACTCAGATACTTCCTTCTAAATTAAAAAGTAATGCGTTACTTTACTAGTTACTCAAAGTAATCTGATTGTGTAACTTGTAATGCGTTACTCCCAACACTGTCATTCAGTCTGTGTGTGTGTGTGTGTGTGTGTGTGTGTCAGTGCTGGTGAAGGGGCAGGTCACCACCAAGTATTACCGGATGCTGGCCAAACACGGCGGCTGGGTTTGGGTGCAGAGCTGCGCCACCATCGTTCACAACAGCCGCTCGTCTCGGCCGCACTGCATCGTCAGCGTCAACTACGTCCTCACGTGAGTCGCCTTTCACCTCCAGCACAGCACTTCTGTAGGATTCATGAAGGGAAATATACAACTCTTTAAAGCCCCAAACACACTGCACGATTTCCGGCTGTCCCAGACAAAAGATTGGCATCGTGAAACAATCGTGGCTCCTAATCTCATGTCGTACAGTGAGAGAGGTTCAAAGACAGCTATTGTCACGGTCTTGCGACCAAAGATAGCCTAGGATACAGCATGATCATCGCACAGTGTGTTTGCTGCTACGACCCACGTTTACTGACCAACCAACAAAACTGCGACACGAAATCAACATCAACACGACATTACGCAAAAAAACATAAAACTGCTTACCTCAAGCTCTTATGCCTTCCTCGAGCCAATAGTTGTCATCATCGTACAGTCTACACACACTTCGTAGTCAAGTTTATTAGATCCATGTCGCACAGTGTGATCTGCTATTATCTTATAGGATTGCTAAAATCATGCAGGCTTCAGACCAAGTCAAGAAGATTTAAGGAATAAAGTGATATGTAAAGTGATAAAGTGATATATCAATATGGTCTCAAAAGCATAATGAGTTTCAATAGCAAATTAAAATATTGAAAATACAACTTCCAATTGATCTCCATTAATTTTTAATTCATTTTACAACAAGAACAAAAACAGTTTAAGGCTTGAATATCTCTGCTTTCAACCACTAGAATATGGAAATAACGTTTATTGTATTTTCTACACTGCAAACAAAAGAAAATCGTCCTGTCTTGTTTTCCAGTACTAATATCTAAACATCCTTAAATCAAGACATGAGATGCAACACGACAGCAGATAAGAAGTCTTGTTTTATGGGAAAAAAACGATCAAAATGAAGTGATTTTATGATTAAAATGAACAAATATCTGTCAATGTAGTCTGAAAAATCAACTTAATTCAAATGGAAACTAGTTTTCATTCCCCACTGACAGATATGTGTTCTTAATCATAAACTCAATTCTTTTTCAGTTTCACAGAAAACAAGACTCTTCGTTTTGCATCTCCAGTAAATACATCTTGATTTAAGGATGTTTAGATATTTGTACTGAAATATGAGGAAGAGATTTAGAGATTTAGCAGTTCATGTGACATTTAACACCACAACTTCATGAATTTAAGACATCTTTCAGACCTTTGTTTATGGAAGTTAGACTTGTTCAGACCCGCAGAAACCCTGTGTTCACTAATGCTGTGTATCTCCGCAGCGATGTGGAATATAAACAGATGCAGCTCTCTCAGGACCAGAGCAGATCCAGACCGTGTCTCTCCTATAAGACCTCGAGTCTGGCGGCTCCTCAGGACTCACGCAAACAGCTGAAAGCCAAAGCAGCCAAGATCAAAAGCAAAGCCCCGTATCCGCAGGTAAGAGCGCTCGCAGGCTCACCCGGGAACGGTTTCCAGACCTCGCTGCATGCTGACGAAACGGAGTGTCCCTCGTGGAAGTCGAGTCCCTGCAGCCTGCCGTCCTGTCAGGAGCAGACGCAGGCCCCCGAGCCGTCCTACACACGGTGCTATGCACACACACCTGCGCAGACGCAGACGCAGACGCGCTCCGGCCGGCCGCACTGGAGCTGCAGCGGCGCAGATAAAGCAGCGGTGCACTCCTGCGCATACTCCGGTAACAGCCCACACACATCAGAACCACAGACACTTTCTGACGCTCTTAAATCAGAGCAGAGTCTTAAATTCAGAAAGTCGTGGCATTAAATGCTGCATGAATCTCTTCCTCAGTATTTCCGTCTTGTTTTCCAGTACAAATATCTAAACATCCTTAAATCAAGACACATCTACTGGAGAAGCAAAATGAAGATAATGAATGAAGAAGTCTTGTTTTCTGAGAACTTGAGCAAAATGAAGTGAACAAATATCTGTCAGTGGGGAATGAAAACTTGTTTCCCTTTGAATTAAGTTGATTTTTCTGACTCTATTGACAGATATTTCTTCTTGTTTTAATCATAAACTCACTTCATTTTGATAGTTTTTCAGTTGTTTTTCAGTGTATCTTGACTTATGAATCTTTAGACATTTTTTTAAACCTTTATTTTACCAGGAAAAGCACATTGAGATTAAATATCTCTTCTACAAGAGCGCCCTGGTTAAGACTGTCAGTAACACAAAACTCACGTGGGTCTAGCAAATAGCATCCATCAATGCACACAAACAGAAATATAATAACAATAAAAAGAACCAATACATAACTAAATCAAACAAAGCATCTACAACCAGATGTTTCTGCCTCCAAATCATTTAAAATCACTTTAAAAACATCCAATGAGACCAGCTCCTTAATTCCTGGGACCGAAGACTATAATTACTTACATGTTTTTTTTACAGATATAGGTCTGAAGATATGAAGGAAGTGGAAAACAAGACAAACATACTGAGGAAAAACATCACATTTTTGCATTGTGATCAGAAAGTGCAATAAATTTAAATAAAAGTGCAATTATTTCCATATTCTATTTAAGTAATTTTTGTATTTATGTTCTGTAAAATTAATTAAAACTAAAATTAGAAATAAGTTATGTTAACATATTTTGTTAATTTCAATTTATTCCATAAATTTTCTTTACTTGGTCTTAAAAAGGTCTTTAAAACGTCGTAAAGTTGCCTTCAGAAATCCTGCTGAAACCCTGAGTGACAGATGAACAGATAGTAGGGGTGTAACGATTAACTCTTTAAACATTTTCTGCATGCAGTAATTCTGCTGTTTCATATGCAAGCATTTTTGAATCACAAATCATTTGTTTTGGCCAATAAAAGAGCAAACAAACAGAATCACACTGTTAATGCAGGCAGCAGGACTGAATGCAATTGTTAAATAAGCATTTAAAAAGTGACAGTGCATCATTACTGCTTAGCTAAAAAATGGAAGTTGAAAATTTAACTGTTAAAGCATGAAATAAGATACCACGAATCAGTGAATTTGAGTTTAATGTGGGTGTATTATCAGTAAATTAACCATTAATCATTCAAAAAAATACCAGCCATTTATATTAATGTGACTCAGAGATGAAGGCCATAATACTAATGTTGTCCACACGAGGGAGCCACAGGATACCAAATCCTTTAAGATCTCAGTTTAAAGACTGTGAAAAGTGTTCAATAAATTGACTTGTAGTAAAAAAAAATTGCATATAAATTCATTATATTTTCATAAAGTTTAATAAAGCCCAATATAATAAGTATGCAAAAACGGCAATCTCCTAAATACTTATAGACCATTATTTTTTTTTAATCTTAATTTTAATGGTATTGACAACATGTTTGTCAAGTTGTCAGACATGACTGAATGTATGTCCAATTGAAGAAGGGACACTATATTATTTATCTATTTTAATATTGTGCATATAATAATACGTACATAAAGACTCATCATTTACTTACTTTTTTGTGCTATTGCTTGTAATTTGCTTATGGTGAAATCTATCTAGTATCTACAGTTTTGTTGTCAAAGCCTTTTTTATTAGAATACAATATAGCAAGGGTCCAAATAAAAATATTATGAAAACTATAACTGCTGTACTTTTATTTTATTTTTTTTATTTTTTTGACGACGGGCAGCTCATGAACACCGAACACAAAAGTGATCTGGCTATTTTGCCTCAAAATTTGTTTATTAACTTTAGCTTCTAGTTATTATTATTATTATTATTATTATTGCCACCTTGTGGACAAACTAAGCACAACAAGCAGCTTCAGAAAATGGGAGAATAACTGTCAGTGTTGCAAAGTTAATCATTAAGCGTCATTGAGATAGTGTTGTTATTCAGCTCAAATCAGTTCAAGTTTTGTGTTCTCATCTGATAGCATCAGTACAGTACAGTTCTTCTTCCCTAATCGAACAAACACAATATGATTTATGATTCCAGTCTGCATCATGAGTGTGTTTTTATTATTCAGAATTTTGTATACACCTCCTTCTGACTGGAGACTGAAATGCACCACAGAGAAATTAAGTTCATTGCTGCGTTTTAGTCTCTCCAGCAGATTGAAATATAGCATTTGTAACTAAGCCAGGCTTGAGTGTTTGCATGATGATCTTGCTAGTCACTTAAATTTGCAATGTAGTCCTAGCTGGTCTTGACATAACAGAAGATAAATAACTCTTGTGTTGTTTAATCACAGCAACAATGGCTTCACCGAGAGGTCACCATCGGCGCGGAAGCATGGAGGAACCAGTTTTCATGTCGTGAGAGATAGTTTATATTGTTTTAATATGTTGTTATGTTTATGTTTATGTTTATTATGGGTTTTCACTTGATGCAGAGGTTTAATAAAAAAAAATATATAGTTATATGTAACTACACAAGTTAAGTTATATATAGTATACTGTATATATCATAAAGTATCAAACTATTGAAACTGTTTTATCTATACATATCAGTTAATATACACGTTTGCCATAAATGTACCAATATATAAATATTTGTATTGCAAAACATACAGGATATACTGTCCCTTATGTTTCTTTCTTTTTTTTTTTTTAGATCTGATGTTATTCATCTCAAAGAGTAATTGAATAGACTTCAAAAGGACATTTTGCCAGAATGCAACAAGCATTTGGAGAAAATTCCTGATCTCATCAATGAGTTTGAAAATGGTAACAGATTTGCTATTTATGCACGCAGGGGAGGAGAAATAACTGGAGGAATCGTGATGGTGTTGTCGGCATTAGCTTTATTTTTAATTGATGAAGAGGTTTCTGATATTGTTGCTGCAGCAGGGGCAGCTGCGGCTGTAGTTGCTGTATTATGTGCTGCTTTTAGCATATACAAGAAAACACAGCAG